TTCGTTATTGATTTCCTTTGAAGCACAGATACACTTATGTTACCATCTGATAAAATTCGAGACAGACTAACAACAAAGAAAAAAGCATTTTATAAAAATACATGATAATGTATTTTGAAATCTTTATTATTGCTTTCAAAATAGGCTCTTGACTAAAAATTACCAAAGCAAGCTTTTGTTCACAACTGTACTTCCCGGCAAATATAAGAAAACAACCGACAATGTGCGCAGACGCAGCGTCGTCTACACCTACAGCATATATTTAAACACACTAAAATAAAATCAAGCAATAAATAAATCACCACACTTCAGGTTTCATGAATATAACTAAGTATGTAGAAGCACTATATCCACTATATGTAAATGGATTTAGAGTACGACAAAGCTCCGCCCATGCCACTTATAAATAGCCGAAAAAAAATATTTTCGTGAAAATTTCAACTAGAAAACCTAAGCTGCACATACTTGTATTGAATTGCTTAAGCAGAAGAATTATTAGTATATAAATATGTGTAGGTATGTGTGCAGTGAGCTTACCTTGCTTGCAACAAACATTTGGTATTGCACTAGAGTGCCCTTTTGTAATTCATTGGGGGTAACTAAAAATAGAGCAGCTCAAAAATACATTAAAACGCTTTTCGTTAAGCGAGTTCAAATTCGAAAACTCACAAAATGCACAGAAATGCTAAGAAAAAGATGACAACAACAGCATGAATGCAACAGAAAGCAGACATTTTGACGTTGCAACAACAAATGCGCCGGTTGCCAAAGGTACTACAGGAATTTTTGGTATGTATTTGTATATATATAATATATATGTATATATGTATGTATATGTATATTCTTCAAAGTATGTGCGCACATGTGTTGGTTGACAAACAAATCCTCCACACGCCATTGGGGGGCTGCGACATTAAAATAATTGCTTCCGAAAGTCAGCAGCAGTATGATGTGGCAAGGAAGATATATGAATATATATATGTATATGTATTAGGGTGGAGCGAAAAAAATTTTTTTTTGGCTTAGGCGGGGGGTAAAATCTGTAGATTTAAAAAAAATAAAATTTTTGGCCAAAAAAAATTTTTTTTTCTAACACCTAGAGGAAAATTTTTGGACGAAAAAAATTAGTTTTAAAGTAAATTTTCGAGTTAAATAAAAAAAAATGTTTTTGCCAAAAATTTTCTTTTCTTATAATCTACAGATTTTACCCCCAGGATAAGCCAAAAGCTCCACTATAATATAGATATATATATTTATTTGTAGATATGTGTTTATATAAAACAGTTGAGAGCATCTTTCTGTATATTTCGTGCACATGCTTTGAGTACTCTTGAATATATGTAGATATATAAGTAGATAAGGGCACATACATATATGCTATACATATGTAAATATATATTATTGCTTCGAGGTATGTATATTTATATATTTGCTTATACATACTTCGTTACATATGTATGTACGTGCCACTAAAAAGTAAGAACTCTTCACATCATGGACTTAGCAACAACTGGCCCAACCTGCGGACTCAACGCTCCGCGTATTTCCTTTTTGCTACTAAAAATCTGTTTTCGTTTAACATATATTTTTTTACTCTTTCCTGACATGATTTTCCACTTTTACTTCGCTTTAACGGTTAACATGCCGCCACAACTACACTTGCGTCCTCATACCACCATTTACACACACACATACTAAGACGCATTCATGCATCTGCCGCCAAGCGATTACTCAAAGTGATGCCAACAACCACAACAACAACAACAGCAACAAAACAATAACAAATGGCGCATTAAGTGAATTATATTTTCATCCGGTGCATGCAACACAGTCTGGCGGGGATGTATTGCTGTGCCAGTGGCGCGCCGCGGCATATGTGCGCACGCGTGCCAACCAATATCTCCAACTCCACTCCAGGCTGCAATGCTGCATAGCGCTCGGGCGCACAGCAACGCCTTGCCGGCGGCTGCATGCATTTCGTGTCGCTTTTAATTGCTGCCACACCGAACGGGTCTATGTATAGCCCGCGACAGCAGCGCCATTAACACAGCAACAGTGCGCGCCTGCTGCAACAACAACAACAATGAAATGAACAGCTGCGCGCATGTGTGCGGCGTTTGTTGGCGGTGGTCCATGTAGCGGGTGCCACATAGCATTTGTGGCACAAACTCATTGCTTTGCGCCTCCAAGTGCACGCGTTACATATCCACGCACGTACATATGCATACTTGCTGTCAGGGTCATATCAACAATCCGCTTACCCACTCCGTCGTTGCATCCACCAAAAATGTTGACATTCAAAGTGGTGGCATTCCCAACATGCCTCTCAGCCAGGCAACCACCTCTACCGCCACCCAACCAGTCGCCAAGCCGTTGCTTCCGATGCAGTAGCGCCTTCATCTGTTTATGCCCATTTTTATGAGGCTGCTTGCACCGTTGACGGCTGGTGTTGCACATTCTTGTGGCACTCCTGCGAAGCTACGACGCATATCTGCGCGTTTAACTGTCGGCTAATTATTTGTAGAAAGCAATCGCCACTTTGACTTTGGGGGCTGTGCGCGTACATGCGGTTAGCTGTAGTTGGCGACCAAAGGTTGACGGATGACGGCGTCGGCGTCGGCTATTTTTACATGCAAAACGTATGTCTTGACAGGCGCAACGCTCGTTCGTTCGGGTATAACGGCAATCGGAGTCCGTTTCCATGTTAAGGGCAATGCGTGTGCACATATGGTGCAAATGTGCCTCAAGAAATGCATTTCTGTAAATATACATATACATACATACACACATATGTAATGTACTTACATACATATATGTAGAATGTAAAAAACTAGGTAAAAGAAAGGAAAAGTATTAAGTGCCAGTTCATGTGAAAGCTATAATAAGTTCAGGCATTTCTATGGGTGTCTAATTTGAAAACGATTTAAAATTAATTTCGTTATATAATTTTATATGATATTAATTATTTAACGCTGATCAGGATATATTAAGTTTGCAACGAAGTTTGTTTACATCCAAAACGAAACGATTGAGACCTTATAAAATGTACTTATATATAAATGATCAGCGTTACGAGCTGAGTCGATGTAGCCGTGTCTGTCTTTCTGTCCGTCTGTCGGACCTTCTGCCTGTAGGTAAATACGCTAACTATTTCCTTAATTTTTGAAATTTTGCCCACGTTTTTTTCTCTGAAAAATTAACTCCTTTTACGGAAAACTTTTTTACTAAGCGAGATCACGAAATTTGGCATTGAATATTATCAGCCGCAACGCTACAATCTCCCAAAAAAAATTTCAGATCGAATCACTATAGCGTATAGCTGCCATACAAACTAACCGATAAAATTAAGTTCTCCTATGAAAACTTCCCCAAAAATAATATTGTTATTGTATCATATCACGTTTTCATACAAACAGCCGAAGCAATTTACTTTTTTATAGTCAAGGAACATGTTGCTTGCAGCATAGTGTAGCTCACATAACTGTCAATTGCAATAGTATAATATAATCCAGAGTGATAAAAAAGTATGTATGTCTAACAGAATGAAAAAAAACTAATTTGATATTCAGATGTCTATCTGTACTTTCGACGGTTAGTTCATGCAACATATGTTGCAAGCTGGGAATTGGCCAAATTATAATTGCGATATCCTTCAGAAACTAGGTAAATATGCTTCTTGGAAATAAACGTAAGTGGATTATGCATTGGACGAAATTGAACCAATCCCACGCCCACAAAATAACATTACTCAAAAGTGCATCGAGAGCCATTATTCTATTTTGTGGCACTGGAAGTGGCCCTATTTACCAAATTGAAGATACTATTTTCCTGCAGCTAGAAACACTTCAATGAGAAAATAGTCGAAATCGGGTAATAAACACGCCTACCTATCTTGTAACTGATTCTTCTATGTAATGGATCACTGAAAACCTAAAAAAAAATCATCGAGACAAAAGCTAGTTCATTGATATTTGGAAACTTTCTGCCATAAATAACCAAATCTGCCAATAATTTCACTCTTATCTATAGTGAATATAGCAATTCCCGATTTCAGTTATCTGAAGAAACTAATAAAATACTTTACTTTTAGAGTAATTTGCTCTGTTATCAAATATAAGTGTTAATACTCCACTAATTGGCATAACATTGTGGAAGCTAACTCTCGGTTAAATTATTGGTTAATTACCGGAGCGCGCTACCAGAGATTTCTGTTAAAATTTTTATGAGTTTATTATAGCCGAACAGAAAAATCTAACCAAGACTCTTGTGAATCTTTGATGTTTCATCCATACCTTAATTTGTTAATTTCCACGTTAACTCTTTCAATTTATTGCGGTTTCGGTTATGTGAAATTGCTGTTTTTGTTGTAATAAAAATAATGAAATCAAATATTTGTTACATTAAGCATCACATTTAGCTATTATGAATAGCTTTTTAATTTTTGAGAATCACATTCTTTTCCCACTTCCATCTAAGAACAGTTGGAAAATGAATACAGCATCGATTTTCACTACTTGAACGAAAGAAATGAATATAGAATGTGTCCTCGCTAAGTATTACAGTAGGTTTGTGTCATTGCTTTACCTTAGCATTTTTCATGGTTTGTGTCGTCGATATATCTCGTCTGCATATATGAACAGTTGCTATAAAGAATTATAAAAGCAGATTTCTAAACCGTTTGCATATTTCCAGCATTTAATAATATTTAGGGGAGTTTCTTTTTTCACCTAAGTGTGAACAGTTGATGCGTTTGGGAACAATTCAAAACTTTAGGCGGTGAATATACATTTTCTAGCAGCTGAGACGCAAACCGTTAAAAATTATAAATAATGTTGAGTTCAGTCTTTGTTTAAGTTCATAAATTATAGCAACTTTTGGTTTATTTAGTTATGCCATAATTAAAACATTGTAATTATTATTACTCAGATTTTCGGAAGATGAGCATTGCATTATATTATATATATATTTTAATGTATTCATATATTTATTTCTATTTCTAGATTATCTACGGTGCCGATGGTCAACCGATTCGTGCGGAAAAACGTGGACGCGGTAAAGCGCGTACCGCAACTGGCAATGGAACGCCAACAACTGGGGTAAGTGTCCTCTGTTAGTATTCAATATGAGTTTTTAATTATTTGACGTAATCTAATGATAAATTTTAGTTTAGTGTAATGATTTTCGGTCACCTTTTGACACAAGAAAAAAATTGACATTTTTAATATCATTTATTTTTATCACTACTTCAAGGGTTTACAAAAAATGTAAAAGCAATAAAAATATATTAAAGGATACACACTGTTGAAGTAGTGGAGAAAAACAGGGCGTATCCACCATGACACGATTTCCACACACGCGCTTGCTTTTCTGCTTATCTAAAAATTAAAAAAATTTGGTAGACTATCAATTCCTAGAAGTTTTTTATAGCGCAAAAAACTTAGAAAAAAAATGTTTTTCTCACAGAATGGGGGCAGCTTAAAAAATTTTAATTTTTTTCATTTCGTTTTTAAGTTGTCCCGAACTTAAAATAAGAATTTATTCTATCAATTTATTCAAATAAATTTTTTTTTCGGTTGCTAAGAGTTTAAGATTTTTTAACGAAAACTTCGAAAAAGTACATTTAAAACTCCATCAGCTGTCTATTGTTAGATCCGTTCTGACTAAGCCGACCAAGTTGCCACGACACTGAAATGACTCTAACTTTAAAAATAATTAGAATTTCTAAAAATGCTTCTACGGAGATATTCTTGAATATTTATCGAAATATGAATACAAAATTCGAACTTAGAATCATAAGGGCTGAACGCTAAATGTCAAAACTGAGATTTGCTCTCTTAATTGGTTCGATTTTTGTTTATACTACTCCTAAAGTCTACTCCACCTGTCATTATAATATTAAGTATTTATTTTAAAATATTTTCGATGATAGGCCCAACGCAGTTTGAGAACTTTTTTGGTACGTTTTGACCATATTGTGGTTAACATTTTTTACTACAGCTTTTTCGCTATCAAATTTCAAAAAAATTGGGCTAGGACTCTAAGTGAGCTTTCTAGTATCTTACCTGGAGTTTTTTTTTACTAATTTTTTTTAAGAGATTTTATAACAGATTCCAGAGGTCATATAAAGTTTAAAAGTAAATCGATATTGGTATGAGCAAAAGTAGAGAGAGAGAAGTAAGAAAACATTAGAAGGCTAAGCTTTCAACATACCATGCTGAGAAAGGACTCAAAAGGTGTCAGTTTCTCTTGACCAATCAGGCATTTAGACAATATAAGACCTTCCTAACAGGTCATCAATCAAGTTTAAACTAAGCAATCGGTAATATAGACGGCAATATAGATCAGCCTTCCTGAGAGGTCATCAAACAAGTTCGTGTTTTGAATTTGTTCGTCAAATCTAAGAAACCCATCTTTTCTTTAAAGAAAGTCAAGCAATGGAGCAGAAGTCTATCTTAACCTTGCATAAACACAACAAGATAGAGGCATTCTAGATTTCTGTATTCTATATCAGCAACAACTGCTTGCCACATGACACGGAACTGCTCCGCCATAGCGGACTGTTTACGACGACTAATGATGACATTGCCTGTTGTTGACTTGTGTGGCAAGTCGATAATGAAATGCCAAAATCATTGTTATGGAAAACAAAAAAGTGCGCACACAAGCTGAGGCACATAATATATAAATATGTATGTCTATGTATGTATATAGATACATGCATGTATTTGCTCACGTTTAATGATATCGTGTATCAAATGCTTAACTACCGCATAGCTAAAATGACAGCAACAACTTGAAGTTGCGGTTGCCGGTTGCCAGCTGCCAATTCCATTGCTATGCATAGACGTGCGGGTGCCGTGCAATAAAGATTATATATACTCGTATATATGTATGCATGTGACAGCATTGCTTCGATGGTGGCAATGACAATGGCAATGTCAAGGCAACGACGTCAAACGCACAACAATCATTGTCATTGCTACAACGACGGCGACAATAAACTTTTATTCTACACCTCCGACTGCAACTACGAAAACAAAGACAACAACGACAACTTTAAGTGCGATGACAAGAAAAGTTCAACTACCATTTCGATTTGTCTGTCTGGCAAGGCGTCTGGCGTGCGTCTGCTCTCAGGCGCATAGCTGGCAATTCATCAACCAAAGCCGGGCGAGCTATATGTAGATGTCAGCATAACAAAACAATTTGATGTTTGTTGCACTCACATACATATCTACACATATACATACATACTTGTACATATAAATGTAGGTAAGTTGCCGCTAGAAAGCTCCAACCAACGCAAGGCATCGAAATGACAAAGCATATATTTGTCTGCGTGTGTATGTGTGTTTATGCGTACTCGTATGTACACACCTCGCTCACCTGCTGCATTTGGCACTCGCTTGTGGCAAGTGGTGGTCTATCCACCTAACTCCCAAACAACTTACTTGAGTTTTCGTTTTATATCCCACATGCTTTAGCTCACACGCTTTTATTTACACATTTTTGTACAGACACACATAGATACATATGCGCGCCTTGTGCCCATCGTTCACCTCACACGCGCGCCACATGCCAACTTACCGTAATCTCTGTACATGGCGCCGCGTCGCAATCTTTCCGCGCTAACGCCTTTGGGGTTTAACGTCGCGGCATTAAATCTGCAATGTCGTTGCGCGCTGCGACATTTTGCTTGGGGAAAAAATAAACAGCGTAACAACAACAATGAGTGTAACGACAAAACAATCAGTGAACCCACCAATCGTCCAAGCAATCTGCGGCGCAACGGCATGTGTGTGCGCGCAAAGTTATAGACCGCGCGGCAGGTATGAGTTACTTGTTCGCAAATGCATGTCAGACGCCAGACCGACGACAGTTGGCAATGCGTCACCATTGGACTTGATTTGTGCGAGCGCTGAGCAAGAACGTTTTTTTTTTGTTTTTATTTTCGTCTCTATTTTCCCTACTTTTTATTTCCCCTTAGGAGTGCGCGTTGCCGGCGTTCGTGCGTCGTTTTAGCTATCATCAACATCAGCATTGCGGCAAGTCCACCGTACCACCGTTGCAATCTTTCATTCATTCATTCCCACACTCATTGCCGTGTGCGCGTTTTCTTTGTGTCAAAGAAATGCCGCCACCTGACGCTTACAAATTGTTTTTCTGTGGCACATACGATGGCGTTGTAGCTGCTGGTTGCCATAGCCATCGTCATCGCCATCGCGCTCGACAGCGCCATTTAATGCCCATTACCCTGGTCGCCCATTCACCCAGTTGTGTGCCGGTCTTGCCACATTCACTTGCTCCACTTACTCCGCTTACATACCGCTACACAAGTTTGTTGGTATGTTGCATGTACGTGCATACTGTCTTTGGCCCAGCTTTCCATTGCCTTGTGTTGTGTACGGTCTCCATCTGGTTTAAGGCTTGCGAAGCGCGTGCTCGTTTGCTGCCGGTTGATGTCTCAATGCGGTATGCGCTGTTCCCAGCGTTGCCATATTCAAAGGCGGAAAGTGCAAATAAACCTCCTTGGTGGTGGGATGTCGTTTTTACAGTGTTTTTATTTCAATTATTAGCAAATAAATTTTAAACGAGTATTTGTTTTAGAAGGTTTCCCATAAAAAGAGGGAATATTTTCTATTCAATTTCAAAAAAAAGAACCTTATTAATTTAAATTCCCATCGGAATACAAATTTCCTGGTGAAAAGTGCTGGCTTAATCAAAATAATAAACCTTCCCAATATGAGGCAATCATGTCATTTATGAAATGTAAATATTTTTGATCCGAAAATCCGTTTTCTAAATGCGAGTTTATTTCTTCATCTTCCAACAATATGATATTACGAGTTTTTTATAATGTAAATATTGTAGTTTCTTAAACAACCAAAAAAGTGTTAAGTCGATAATTATATCTGATTTTATCGTTATTTTTTGGTTTTGCGTTAGTTTTCTATACTCTCAATATTTTTTTAAATAACCTAATTAGCACAGTTATCAGTATTAATAAACACAAATGTGTAAAATATATAAATATGTGTGATGGTATCAATATTTGATTGTTTATCGATAGTTTTCAATTCTAAATAATACTATCGCTAATTTTCCAGCAGCAAGCGAACATAACAAATATATTATTATCGATAGTTTTGCTGGTTGCAGCTTCTGTTGGACAACTTTCTCTTCACAAATATATTTCTGCTGAAATTATAAAACAAGTATCGTTAAATTTATATGATGTTACTGGTACTTTATTGTTTATCGATCATTTTCAACTGTGAATAATATTATGTATAGTTTCCACAAAGCATCGAACATATCGAATACTTATTTATCGATAGTTTTGCTGGTTGTATCTTCTCGTTGTAAAATATCCTCTTTATTAATCAATTTCTGCCAAATTTCTAAAACAATAATCGATAAAAGCCTACGATGTTATCGATAATTTTTTGTTTACCGATAACTTAAAACTCTTAAATACACTATAATCGATAGTTTTGTTGGAAATTTTTCCCAGTATTAATTTGTTTCTATGTAAATAATAAAACAATAAATTTTCAACCACATTTTGTTCACTTAGAACCCATAGTTTCACACTATATGTCTAGCTTACAACAGGTAGGTAGAAATACCACCGCGTTTATCAGTGTACTTGAGTCGTTCTTGTGGCGGAACACTCAAACTCCGCCACTTCACTTGCTGGTCGCGTATTTTGCGCATTGCCGTTTTTATTCTATATCTTTACGGCTACTAAGGCTAATGTCAGTCCTCCTAACTACATAAACGAAAGGCGCTACAGACCAACAGCAGACGATTTGTCTGGGCACTAGGTGTTCCACCATTTAACTGCACGACAACTCTTTTCACTTACCACTTACCACTTCCACACATCCACTAATGTACTTGTACCTTGGGCGCTTTGATTTGCCGTTCCCCCATAAAGAAGCGAACAAATCCCTTTTGCGGACGGACAACTGCCAAGTCATAGCTTGTAGTATGGCGTTGACACGCACATTCACACCGCAAGCGAAGGCAATTGAGCGGAAGACAAAGCGTATTACACGCATCACGTGGACACTGAACAGCACGAGCACACCAA